AACCTGGTACATATTTTCCATAACTCTTCCTTGAGTTTACAACCTATATTATTCAAAGAAAACACTTTACTTTCGATTTGTATTAAGTAACTCTATAATTGAAGTTCATTGTTTTTAGTTTTTTTTCTGTATAGAAACACGGATGTGTTAGTGTAAATGTCGTAATTCAAGTTCGCTTTCGTTTTGCACTTTTTCATTTGTATGTAGACATTGTTCAAAGTCACTTCTAAATGTCGTGATCTTCATCAGACGTTCTTCTCCCTCTCCTTCTGTTACACACTGGACTCATCGGTTGCAGTTCGATGGGGTTGTTTAATGCCTGGTTGATTGTCTGTTTTCTGCAGAGTATCTTCTTGGCTGCGTCACGAAAATCAGACAGAAATATAAGATAGATGCAAGGACTGAAACAGGAGTTGATCAGAGGTAGGAAATCACCAATGATAAAGAACAATGATCTCCAGTCAATACAAAGTGAGAAATGTATTATATCGGCAGACGGGATGACAAAGTCAGCCCAGACAACAACGTAAAGAACTAAGCTGGGAAACCAGCTTATTGCATACAGCAATACTGAGGCCAGAACCATTCTTACGGCTGCCTGAGTACGACGTGCTCGTACTTTTCGTTGTTCTTCACTTAGGTGATTTTGGATGCCTTGTGGTTTTGTCAACCGTCTTATTGTTAGACTAGTAAGAATGAATATTACACAACAGAGGATAAACATAATAGCTCTTTCAAATAGGAAAACAAAGGAAATGACTATGTTATTCAGTATATCGCTTAACAGTACAGCACACCGTTGGCCATGTAGAGGGCTTTTCAGATACGCGTAAAGGGCAGAGCTTATCATGGGCATCAGCCAAGTGACAGCAATAATTGTCATACGTTGCTTCAGTGTGTATGGTCTRGTTCTTTTCAAGGTTGTTGTTGTTGCTCTGAATCGTTGAATACTGATTACTAATAGAGTAACTAATGATACCCTATATGAGATACTGCGCAGAAATGTTATAGTTTTACAGATTATAACACCTAGTGTACCGCTGGGATATATGCTCCATTTATCGTCAGACAGACTTGGAAATTTAAACAATAACCTCATGAAGAGATATAGAGCATCTGAGACGGCCATGTTGATGATCAAATGATGCAGGTTCTTGCGTACTATGAATTTAGTTGCGAGTATGATGACGAAGATGTTCAAAGAAATCCCCAATACAATGACCAGTACGTAGGCAGTGCGTTTGACAATTTTCTCAGCATCGGTCTCAGGCTCCCGATACTTGCAGTAGGTGTTAACCGTACTGATGTTAGAGACGTTGGCGAGTGATAAGTTTGACTCGTTCATCCTTGTGTAGTTTATCTTCTCGCTGTCTGTATATCGTTGTAAAATAACAATACAAATAATGACACCAAGACACTCTTATGTACCTTATGATGAAGTTACGAGGGGCGTAACTAAGTACTTTTCAGAAAAAGAGAGTTTCTTGACACAAAATGTGACTATAATTAAAGCAGGCTGAGAACACTGTTGGTGAATTTACTGATCGAGTTAAGTAAAGGATGTGGACAAGTCTCGTGACAAAACTTACAGAATAATTAGAGATAATTAACTGACGACGACTGAATCGGGGAAAAGGTTCCTTGAATAGAATGATTAGGAGTTTTTCATGATTCAACACAAGAAGCACACTGACAATAATTTTACATGAATTCAAGATGTCGACCGTATTGGGAAAAAGTTCTCTTCGATGTAATGATATAAACGTTAAGGATAATTCAGCTTTGCAGATGAAATACTCTATAGTTTTT